GGGGGGGGGGGGGGGGGGAAGAATCAGACGGCCGTCGGTTGTTGTTCGGAGGCCTTTCAATATATATTTCGGGACTGCCTGCACAAAAAGAGTTGGCAAACTACAATAGCAGACCAGGCAGGGAGCACGCATACCCTAGCACCATCAACCCCCAACGAGGCGGTTCTATAGTTCATCCAAAATACTCCCTTACATATGCTTCTACACCTGCGTGTAGACGATCATCCCGATTTTTCGCGCATGAATGCAACACCTCTTCAGACGAAAATGAGTCCGGGATGGCTGTACTATTTGGCACGGTGGAATAGTTGCGACTCGGTTGCTATCGCCGTCTCGCGACACTGCATAGCAGTGGTAGGGGTGTAGATAACGCACACAAAAAATCGCGTGTGCACGGTGCTGGCTTCTTTTTAGCACCCATGCTTTTTTGTCTGTCCATGTGTGCTTTCGGGATAGGATGGTGGTGGTTCTCTTAATCAATTCTCGACACATGAACAGCGAGCCCTCTGCATGTTACCGGAACCGCCAGGCATGTGCCAGTGCGGGACCAACGGCGGTATGGGTCTACTGCTGTAGTATTGACCGACCCGACGCAGCACCCCCTGTAAAGCCGTAGTTTGCGACTATTTGCCAGAGGCTTGCTCCCGCCAAAGCATGCGAAACGTCCGGTGGCGTGGTCGCTCGCATGGTAACGAGAGCGAGCGCCTAGCACAGCCGAGGTACCGATATAGCGCCGGTTGCCCACTATAATGCCGACGAAATCGCATGGTCATAACGGCACTATATCGGGACCTCGATCGCTATAGTGGCAAACAACGTGATACAGGCCGCGTGACTGGGGACGGTCAACCGTCGACCTACCCCACCCGTTGTCGTAGCTCACCAGAGCATCGGGTTCTACATGCACAATATCGCCGTGTGTAACAACAACAACGCTACCGGAAAGCAAAACATCCCGCGACATTGTGCTGTACTGTAGCGCTCTTGTTGCACAACCGTCGTGCCCACCAAAACCTGACTGCTCCCACACTGGCTCTTCAGGTAGCTGTAGGTGGTTGAGTTTCACCAGAGAGATGCTAGATGCATAACGCCTTCCAAATCCCACGATCGAATCAATAGGCACACGCACATGCACAAACAAACAACTACAGGACGAGTAAGGCCGACAATATCTTACTATTTGCGGATTTTTGTGCGATCACGGGTTGCTGTAGACGGCACAGATGCTGCAACCGCGGATTTGTAGCGACGACCAAAAAAAAAAAAGCGGAACGGGGTCGTCCTGGTCTAAACTTCCAAAAGAAATGCGTGTCGGGCGGAAATTCGAGAGGCGTAACAACGTCATAACGGCTTCTAAGTCCGCTGGTCGTATTGTTACGCACGAACAGGTCTTTTCTAGATCCACACACGCCGAGTTCCGTTGAACTCGCCATTTATAGAAATGGGGAGGACAAAACAATGTTTCAACGAATGATCATAGTACACAAATTCGGACTGGGACTCCAAATTTTTCCATTGAAGGAAACAGATTTAGAATTAACAGAGCTTCCTGGAAACTTCCCGCAGGCAAATATTTTTGGATTTAAGCGGCTTCATATGATTGGCCGAGGGGCAACAGTTCTCCTGTCCCACCCAACGAACTTCCCCTGACCGCAGGTGGTGCTGCTTTTTTGTGGTGCGCTGCTTGACAGCTGCACCCTGCTGACACCGCCCTCTCTCACTGCTGCTCTGTCTGCTGTTGAGTGTGCGTGCATGCATTGCGTGTGCGTGTCTTCTGTGCCGCCCCCCTCAACCCAACCACACGAAATCGCCCCAGGACTTGAGATAGGGAGGGAGTGATTGTACTGGCCGGCAGTCTCTAACGAGTTGCAGTTTCGAATTTCAAGCGTTCGGGAGAGAAGAGGTTGTTATTGCGACGGGGGCACATCAAGTCAAACTCTCTCTCCATGCTCGCAGAGAACCAGCAGAGAATAATCTTGCGCGGGGAGGACGCGCCCGTCTACACCAGGAGGTCAATTGCGTGCTCTTCCTCCTGTCTGTGTGCTCCTCTTCGCTGACGTTGCTGCCACCACCTCTACGTCATCGGTTGCCGCTGTCTCCGCTGTTCCGGCGCTCGCTCTCCTCTTCCCCCTTGCCTCAACCTGTGTGTGACGGGCGGGTGTTGCTGACCTAAAGCCGCGCAAACAAGCCCAACTTGGCTTTCTGGCCGTGCAGTCTCCCTATTTTTGTGTTGGTGCCGCGCCAACTCTAGGGCCTTTTCCCTGGGCGCTGGCCTTCTCTTTGGCCGCGCGGACTGCTGTGTGTGCGTGGGTGTGGTGCCTGATGTGTTTAATCGAAGAATGCTGCTGAATCGGAAAATCGTCAACAATTTTCCACAAAACGAGCCTCCCTCCGCTGTTAAATCTGATTATTTTTTCCTTATCTTGGGTTCTGGCGAGACTGTTTGAAACGAGCCTCAGAACGATGGCACAAATCAAAATGTATTTCCGTATTTCGGAATTTTTTTTGAGTCCGTAAGTGTCTGATAGTATCGAATGCCATGTATTTAGGAAAACAAATACCAACACAGACAGAATACCCGTTCGAGATGTACCCACAGCAGCAGTAAAACGGGATGTGTTCGAAGTCTTTCGTCATGTAGGTACATATGGATATGCATTCGTAGTTTGGATCTGGTGTTGAAGAGCAACCAACACAGGGCAAACTCGAATACTTCAAGGCATAGATAATACATAGGTAGCGGGGGAGCGAGGCATAAAACCCCACGTCGATACGTCTATTCCGACAAATGCTCCATCGCTTCGTTTCATTAAGGGGAGGGCGTCGTGGCAACAACCCGTGGTTGTCTGTCTGTCCAGACGGTAGTTAAATGATGTAATCGTTCATGACGTGACCGGGAAAACCTGCTGCCGCAAACAGCAGGCGGGAACAGCAGGCGGACAAAATAGTCCATTTTGCCTCTTCGACGTGTCACTCTTTTCTGCTCTTTTTCAGGCGCAATGCTCCCGATCACCGGGCATGTCTTGTACATCAGGCGCACCGCAGCGGCACCACAGTCATCGCTGCCGCTACTTTTTCTGGAGTGTGTGGGCAACGACGTGGTACAGCAGCACCAAGTAGAAGATGCGTATTATTTAGTTCGTATTGAGGAGCCGAAGTTTGACGCCGCGGCAAACTTCTGTACTAGTCTACATATGGTACACACGAACATCCATAATCCACGGAGGGCGCCGATGTTTTTCAAGGCAAATGGAAAAAGGCCGACGGCCACGCGCGACGGGGGCGCCTGGTGGTACCATACCCGTGACATCGATTCCGCTCCATGGTTCAGACGCGTGCGACACAAGCGGGCGCTATCAATGGTGCTGCCCTAATGGTGATGCCGCCAACAACATCATGGAGCAGCGGCGTCGAGAAGACCAGGCCAGACGAATCAACTTCAATGTGAAGAAGAAGACAGCATACAACAACCTCTCTTTTGTTTGCGGGTTTCTGCCTCACCTTCGCCTTCACCAGCAGGCATGTCTCCTTGGAGCTGGAGCATCCGCGAGAGTATCCCGCCGTCGGCCTTACTTTGGCCGGCCTTGTACATGGCCTTGTTGCTTGTTGTCGCTGCGCAGTTCAACTGCTGCTGTTGCTGCTGCTGCTGCCGGAAACGCTGTCCGCGATGTCGTTGTACTGCTGTTGTTTGAACTCTACTGTTTTCTCGTGATCCGTACCGCGTGGACGTAGCCCTGATCTCTTTTCTTGTACTCGATCACGCAGTCCCTTGAGAACGAACCAGAGTGGCTTTAGAAGCGGGACGTGGCTGCTGGTAAGGGAAGAGAGGCCAGATCGTGTGTCTCGGTCTGTACTTTCAAAACCGACTGATTTCAACCCAACCGGACCGGGGGGCTCCGCCACATGGCACAACCCCCCTACATCAAAAATCGCGGAGAGCGACAAGATCTTTTGGATCTTGTGCTCTTACCCGTACCTGCCTCTTGCGCCTCGGTTACGCGTGTGTCGCCTTGAACCTCAGCGTCCCGTTAGCCTTTGTCTTCCCCAGTCTCTCGATCGATTAGGTTGATCTTGCTTTCAGCACGCGCATAGCAAACATGAACTCCGCGCTCTTTCACTCGGCGAGACCGGGAGACATCCGATCTGGCCGAACAGCCGGAGGGTTGGGTGGGGGAGCAGGGGGCAACAGCGGTGGAATGCGGGAAGCGGCGGCGCTCGCGAAGGAGATGGGCTTTGGGCAAGATTTCGGTCCACAGGTCGGCAGCAATACCCTCCCATACGTTGCTCCATTCCCTCAACATGAACATCCTAGAGCAATAGTCTACCCGCATAGAATATAGTCTAGATGCACACGAGCGGACGGGTGTTTCCATATCCGGATCTCATGTGTGTAGTCTTTACGTAGACATAGACTCGCACTCAGGCACGGGGAAAACAGGCTGTTCGGTCGGCATACGCTCTATGTAGGGTGCATTGGTCATGCGGGGCGATGACTGTGGCCGGTCTTCCCTGCTTCTCTACGCAATACCCATCATTCCATCGTTGTTGTGTTGCTCGATTTGCTGCCCGCGCAACACCGTTCACTCGTCTCCGCGTTGTCACCACCTCCTTGGAGTTATATCACCCCAAACTCGTACACCATCAATAACGGTCTCACTAATATCCGACCTAACATGTCGTGTGCTCACCGTGAACCACAGGCTGCAAGCATGTGGAAAATGCTTGACGACCTCGCCGTCACGGACAGCGCCGCTTATGCAGAAATGGCCAAAGCTGGTGCCGACGCACTGGTGCGTACTTCGCCCTACTTGTAGACAATGGAATCAATTCAGGAGACCGCAACTGCTGTTGCAGTAAAAAAGCTGTGAACATATGGCTGAGGGCAATTTGGATAGACTTCAGGAGTCGGCCATCAGAAGTGTAGTCTAGGAAATTATTTTGTCCTTAAATTCGCGATCCAGGTTCGGCATGAGATCGCTGTCCAGATAGTGACCTGCACTGTTCACAATGTAATGTGCTAAATTGCCTGTTCCCCAGACCACTATGAGTATCATGTTCTGCATCTTCTGCCATGCTTACGACGTATGGGTATCCGAGGGTTCATGGTAGCCTTCCACCACTGCCGTCTGTTCCGTCGGTCGTGATTTAGCCTGGGGTTGGGCAGACCCCCTCATTCCTTGTGAACAATATTGGCTCTTTGTTATATGGAGGCTCGGCTTGAATGACCAGGTAGTTTGCCACACGTAGCTGCAGATGGAATAATAGCTACGTATTCACAGTGATTATTTGCAAGATATTAACATCATTTATGGCTTGCATTCGAGCTCTGATGCCTCGCCAGCGTCGATACGCTGTCTTTTCGCACGTTCAACGACCCAAGGATGCCCCTTCCCTCCGTCAGGTTCACTACAGTAGTACGAAGCGTGCCTGATACGTCACATAATGTGGCCCCTATTACGGTCATGATGACTGTTTCAAGTAGAGCTGTATTCTATACATTGAGAAGATTCCATGTTGTAGTACAACACTTTGGTGAAAGCCACGTTGGTCGCGCGACAACGGAGCGCAACGGGAACAAGGGTGGCGCAGTAGTTGTGAACGCTGGAGTATCGAATCCCCTCCTACTGTTTTCCTGTTGTTGCGCGTTCTCCACGACCCCCTCCCGTCCTACCATCCGGCTGCGTCGGGGCTTGTTGGTTCCTTCCCTTCAATAACCATGATAAATTGCTCCACGGAAAAGCCTAACGCAATGGGACCTCCGGTTGCACAACACCACCTTGAAACACGTGACATCGAGCTGAATAATAGGAAAAATGTGTATCCGCGCTTCTGATAGCACCATGCAACCCAAACCAGCTTCAGTCACCCTTGTCCTCCAAGGTCCCCGAGTAGCAATAGATATTCTCACACTTCCTTCGTCCTTGGCGTAAGCAGCAGAGCGAAAGCCTGTCCAGCACTCTCTCTGACAGAACCCCTCTCGCTCGCTGCTTTCTACACTCTTGCGGATTAGCGTAAGCCAAAGGGAAAGTTCTTCACCCCCATTCCGGGTTTCGTGGTCAAAGCGTCGCTGCAACGCCCATGGGCCGCTCCGCCAAGTGCCGTCGACGGCGGCTTCGGCGGCGGCACGGGCAAGGTTGTGGAAAACGCCGCGGTTGGCACCAAGGTATTCATCAACCTCTGCGAGCATGAAGGAGTGTCGCCCCCGATCGACCAGGCAAGAGACCGAAGAAGCCATGTCGTTCTCAAAGGTTCCGGCTTTAATGTTATATTTGGCACCGCGCGTGCGTCCAGTATACTATACTCATTCCAAGGCGAGGCATCACCGCAACTCGAGGATTGAGGTCGGTCGGGTGCTGTCTGCCAGGTGTGTTTTGGTTCAAGTCCAACAGCAACGTATGAAGGGAAGGCGGCGAGGAGACGCTAGCTCCCCAGTCACATTCCCGCGACATGAAACGCTATTATACGATGATGTCGGGGACGTTCATCCCTCAGCACAACGCCTATCCGGCGAGTAGGTGGGCGTTGCGAACTCTATGTTCCTTGCCTATGAGGAGGGGGGTCGCCTCCTAAGGCCAAAACCTCGTTCGAATTGCTTTTTGGTGACCAGACCGATAGACCCGTCGACGTGACGAAGGAGGGTCGGAACGCGTCGGGACTGCGGATTCCGATGTTCGTGAGCCGCGTGAGGGAGACCACTGACCACAGCGACGAGAGAGCGCTCGCCGTGGACGTGGTTTTTCACCCGTGGGTGCTTCGCTGCAGCAAGCGGGAGCCTCGATTCCGGGATCAGGTGCGAATTTGGCTCAGGGCTGGCTCGCCTCGCTCGCCATCGTTGTGCGTCGTGCGTCATCGGTCGACCCTGACCTAAACACCACTTGTGGCTAGGTTTACACGCCTGGACCATAAAAAATTGTCAGTCATCATGTGTTGTGTATCGGAAAGCTGATTCGACTGCCATGGCTTACTATCAAGCGTTGATGAAACCCACTTGTCAAGGCCTCCGCTGCCAATGACTTTTTCGTCCGGCGTGAATTGTCCACGTGGAGTGCGGGAAGTGTGTTGTCGTTGCCTCCACAGATCTTCTTGAATTAATCGACTTAAACAACATATCGGGCTGTTCGGCCCTTGAGCGGTACTTGAACGCTGGACTCCGAACAAACAGGTCGTGGCACTTGCGGCAGGCTGGATAACCAAGGAACACCCCGGCTTGGTGGTCTCCCAGCGGCGGAAGCTACTCAAGGTGACAACGACCGCCACAATGATCAACTTGATTTGTCATGTGTTTCGCCTGGGGTTTTTCGTCATCCTAATGTTTTTCGTGTTCGCTCACGGGTAGTGGCCTTGGTCCAGCTCCCCTTCTTCGTTTCGACTGACATTACCGTTGGCCCGGGATCATGCAGGCTGCAATACCCCTTCCCAGCCGAGATCCACCCCCCCCGCCGGTGTTTGCCATCGGGGTTGGGCTTTCGTCGATTGGCAACGACGTTGTAAAACAAGCCAATTCAATTCGTGAACTCGGCAACCAGGTTACCGTTTTTTTTTTTTACCTCCGTTTTTTTTTTTTGGCGGTAACCATAATGGTGGTCGAGTAGATCATGTTGTGCGGGGTGGAGAACCCTCACTCCGCGCAAGGGTGATGATCGCACCACGTTGTGTTAAAATGGTCAAGCACCCTCGAGGCAGTTACACAGTGCGTACAACTGTCTCTGGAAGTGAAAGCGCCAGAAAATAAATTAAGTCATACGCAGCTGTCATCCGTACGCAAGGAAGTAAGCACAAGATGCCGAACACCCTTTGCCGGATGCAGGGCACCCTTCATGCGACTCGCCGAATATCTCACGGCGCTTCGCGCTTGGTGATGTGAGAGCCTGGTCCGGTGAGAACCCGGCGTGCTCCGTCCCGGCTTTGTA